GCATAGCAAGGGCTGTTTGCAGAAGGTTGAAGAAGGGAGCGAGGTTTTCTTCATACGTATGCGTTAAGCCTCTGTTTTCAAAGTTGATTTTTTTGCCCGTTCTTTTGCTAGAGCTGCGGCCGTGCCTGCCCCTGTGCGTGTCCTTCGCCGCTCCGTGGGTGCTGGGTGGACTGCGACGCTGGGTACGGGCACCTGTGCCAAGGGAAGGAGCCTGGGGGATCCCTGCTCGGTGGGGTCAGCGGAGAGGGACAGCATGCGGTGGCTCCAGCAGCTCTGGCCTGCTGGAGGGGATGGGGTGGGACAGGGCGGGAGCCCCCCGTGCTCAGCAGCGTCCTCCTGCTTGCACCAAGTGGCATCCAAACTGGGTCGCTCTCTCCGAGCAAACCGCACCTGCAGAGCACTAATAGCACTGGCATCTCGAGAGCAACCCCAAAATGTGTTTCTAGCCCTGCTCAACTGGGGGACGCGGACCACGTCCCAAGCCCAGTGTGGCATAGGATGGGCTTTCCTCCTGGCTGGTGGATCTCCTCTGGGTCACCCTTTGCTGCCTGGCTGGCTCCTTTGGCGTTAGGCAGATTGCCAGAAGCCCTGGAGAGTAACTGCTGGCTCTGGCAGACAGGAGCGAAGCAAATTGATAGCTGCAGTGTGATTTTGAGGGCAGGGGGATCATGGACAATAATTGTTCTTAAATGTATAATACTTGAAAAATTGTTTCCGTGGCTGCTGCAACGAGCTGGTCAAGCCGAACTGGGATTTTCTTGCTGTCTCTAAAGGACCATGGGTACGCTGTGTTTTGTGAGCAGTCTTCCATTCTCCCTGCCTTTCCAGGAGCTCGGTAACCACAGGGGACGTGCATGTCCCCAGGCACTGCCAGGGTGTCCCCTCCCTCGGCCTCGCACTCCTGTCTAACAGGCCTGGTCACCATGCTTTTCCAGGCTGCTCCCAAACGCCGTGGTTCCTCGTGTCCTAGCTTAATGAAGGACCTGTCCTAGGAATGGAGACGTATCGAGTGCTCCACAAGAGCACTGTAAAAACAGCTTTGATTTTGCGACTGGAAGCCTGAAGGCTGGTGGCAGAGGAGATGCTGATGCCTTGGCCGGGAGGTACACGTGGAGAGGCGCCTGGACCTCCCCTGAAGCTCTGCTGCCGTGTTGCATCGTGCCAGACCTGCTCCCCAGTTTGCGTTATCCCCAGTGCAGGCCACTGAGGTGCCGGCCGTTTCACAAACGCTTTTGCACACCCGTGACACCTTTGTGCTTCTGGAGGGTGATTAGGAGGCAAAGCTGGGTCACCCCATCACTGGAGCAAGGTGATGCTGTCTCGTGCTAACCAAAGCTCGCCTCCCGCGTGTGCAAACACTTCTAGAAGCGGATGGCCCATGCGGTTTCAGCTGTACTCGGACATTTCACTACTTGAGACGAAGCGCTGCTTTTCCGTACTGAATTCTTAGGACAGTCACATTTTGCCTGGAATATAATTGCAGGTGTGTTACCCACCAGCTTTCTGAAAAGCACATCAAAGATCTCGGGGTGATGGGTTTGTTTTCCTTTTGTTTCTCTGGGATTTCTTCACTAGAATTTAGTGTTAACCGGTTATTTATAAATCCAAGCATCTTTCTGTATATTTGATTACTCCTGTGTGTAGACTGATGGGGAAGTTACTGAGTCGCCGTCATTTACTGGAGGGGAATGCTGCTATTTTTAATTCTGCGTCTCTTTCCGGGTGGATGAATGGCAAGCTAATAGCCGTGTAGAAATTTGAACGTCAGAAAATAAGGGAGAAACTTGAGACTTGCTTGTCATATTTAACCTGCTGTGTTACATACTCTGTCTTGAGTCTTTCAACATGCCTTTACATGCCATCCATGTGTATTGTATAAAACGAAATGATCTCGATTTCATCCTTTGTAGGAAGCTATATGAAAGACTGTCTTGCTAAATAGACTAAACGTGAATTAATTTGACAATACCTGATTTTTCTGATTGGTTTTAGAGTGCTAGCTCTTGATTACCCATCTGCTGTGAGATAATTCTTTGAGGAATTAGCAGGAACAACATCACAGAATCACAGAATCGCAGAATGGTAGGGGTTGGAAGGGCCCTCTGTGGGTCACCCAGTCCAACCCCCTGCCCAAGCAGGGTCACCCAGAGCAGGCTGCACAGCACCGCGTCCAGGCGGGGCTGGAATATCTCCAGAGAAGGAGACTCCACAGCCTCCCTGGGCAGCCTGGGCCAGGGCTCCGTCACCCTCAGAGGGAAGAAGTTCTTCCTCATCTTCGGACGGAACTTCCTCTGCCTCAGTTTGTGCCCGTTGCCCCTTGTCCTGTCACTGGGCACCACTGAAAAGAGCAAGCCCAGCTCCCTCAGCCTCTCCTCGTAGGGGAGATGTTCCAGTCCCCTCACCATCCTTGTAGCCCTCCGCTGGACTCTCTCCAGTAGCTCTTCATCTTTCTTGAACATGCTGGACTGATTGTCCTGTTAGTGCTGTGAGTTGCAGTAGGCAGAGTATCTTAAGGGATTTTAGGTTTACTTGCTATGAACATGAGAATTCTACTTAGTAGGAACGTCATATATTTGTTAAAGGTCTTTGGGAGCACAAATGGCTGCTCAATAGGGACATAAATGAAGGTTCCCAAAGAACCTTCTGCCCTCAGGGTCCAAGTGCCGCAGCGGTGATGTTGCTGCAGGCTGGGACATCAGGGCATCAGCGAGGCGATGACTTCCAGCCTCGCTGGGAGGATGGAGAGTCTGCTGAGACCTGCTGGTTGCTGTGTCTCACAGCTCGCCTCACGTCGGCACCAACAGAACAAAGCCTGGGGCCTTTCTGAGGGCCGTTCCCTGCTCTGCAGTCGTGGTTATTGCAAGGATAAAGCATCACGCTGAGCTTGCAGGGCAAAGTGTTTCGTGGCCTTGGAGATGTCCCCTGGATGGCTGTCCCTGTGCTGGCACCCGTGGACCTGTTCACGTGTGGCTTTGGATGCCAGCAGGAGCAGAAGGTCCTTGCCAGGCCCCGTGGGAGCACGCAGCATCTTCACGGGGCCGGGCTTGGCTCTTCCGTATGCCACAGGCAGCGGTGCCCTGGGCAGCTGGGCTGATGCCTGTCTGATGGTCCTCCTTGCTCCCGTTGTTACCAGCAGAAATGTTTATAAATGCCTTGTAAAAACAGTTAGATTTTTAAATTTATAATGACAATTTAGGCTTTATTTAGGAGATAGAAGTCTGGCCTTTCCTTGTGTAAGTGCCTTTTTTGAATTAAGTTTTTATTGATCTCTGGAACTGGCTTGTGGATACAGACATAACCAGTGCCCTTTGCGTGATGCCCAACGCTCTTTCTCCCTCAGGTTATTACAGGGTGTGCAGTTCAAGACAGCTTGTTAGATGTTCCAGAAATCCAGGAAAGCTCTGGAAAGCCAGATGAATGATCTAACGAGAGCAGGGAAGTACAATATTGTACCTTTGCTGCTAGAGGCAAGCTTGCTGGAAAATGACATTTTAATGACCTCATGGCTTTTACATTTTCAAAATAATTATTCCGATCTCCAGTCAGGACAAAACCTAACAAACCCCAAAACTACAGGAACGGGCGGTGCTGGGCATCTTCCAGGCCTGGCCGTTCCTCGCAGCGTTGTGGCTGAACCCAGCAGCGTTGGGAGCGCCCGAGGGCAGAGCTGGATGCTCCCCTTTCCCCGCGACGTTGAGAAACTGAAGAGCTGAGCAGGCGGGGAACACAGGCGGGTTCTGCCAGACTGTTGCCTAGGGAATATTCCTTTAAAAATATTTATCTTTGTCTTTAGAACTGCCTTGTTCGGTCGTCTCCTGCCCCGGCGCGGGGCCAGCCGCAGAGCTTCGGGCGGACCTGGTGGGCTTTGCTGGCCCGAGGCGAGCGTGGCGGAGGCTGGACGGGAGGGTCGGGCATGCCCCGCGTCTGAGATCCGCTCTGAGCTCGCTCTGGAGGGGCGAAATCCCATTTAAAGCGTTCAGAAAGGCCAAGCGGCAGAATGGGGGAAAGGTGGGATTTTTTTGCCACGTGTTTATGCAGCAGCTAATAAACTGGGGCTCTGGTTTTACCCCAGGGAAAGGCGTCTCCCCGCTGCCCTGCCCCATGCTCCCGTCCCCCGGGCTCGGGAGGTGCACGTGCCCCGCGTTGGGTGGGCTGATCCCACCACCCCGAGGGGGGAGGCGCTGCCGGAGAGCGGGGTGAGCAGGGTCGGTGAGACTGGGGAAGCGCAGACGGGATGGAAGGTGGCGAGCCTGGAAGAGATCCCAGAAGCGATGGGTGTTACGACAACTGTGCAGAACGGTAACGCGGAGCAGACTGCGCAGTAGGCGAAACGGGGATTATTAGGCCTGTGTGGCATATGTGTTTGTAACGATTGCCTGGTGTCCTGCATACACGTCTTTACGATAAAGAACTTCTTGGTGAAGACAAACAGGAAGGGAAGAACTCAGGTATGGCGAGTCTTTCTGCAAATTCCCTTTCCGTGTGATAAAAAGAAGATCTCAAAAGATTTTGTTCACTTGTAAACTGTGATTTAAGGAAATCTTAAACAGCATGTGAAAGAAAAATAATGAACAAATGTTTTCAAGTGGGAGAAATCTGTCCCTGCCATATGTTTCACTGAGTCATCCCTTCTGCAGGAGGAGATCTTGCAATTGTTTCAGCTATTCCAGTCGCTAATCCTTTTTGTTGAGTAGCAACATCACTGTAAACTCAGCATCCGATCCTACAACGTGTTAATACCACGTGCAGGATATCTAAAGTCGGCACGTGTTCTGCTCTGGGCACAGGTGAAATTCCCCCTGTGCATCTCGCCGTTGAGCAAAGACCAAACTGGGCCGTGGGTTTGCACTTACCAGGTAGATGATGTGATGCTGTGTGCGCGCTAGGATGTCATAGAAACCTCAAAACCCACCACTTATTTCTCTTTGATCGAAGTGTGGACTCTTGGCACCACAGCAGAGCCCCGTGCTGACGGCGTTGTGCGGTTGCCTTGCAGGTGTGGCTGTGCGGCGGCAGCATGGAGGTCCTGCCCTGCTCCAGGGTGGCTCACATCGAGCGCAAGAAGAAGCCCTACAACAACAACATCGGTTTCTACACCAAGCGCAACGCCCTGCGGGTGGCCGAGGTGTGGATGGACGACTACAAATCGCACGTCTACATCGCGTGGAACCTGCCGCTGGAGGTATGGCCACTGCACCCTATCCTAAGTCTTCACTTTAGTGGGTTAAAAAATTGAATTATAGAGCATTTAGTGCCCCTGGGTGAAGGAGAGCCTGAAGAAGAGAAGGCTGAGAGGGGACCTTATAAATGGTTATAAATATCTCAAGGGTGGGTGTCAGGAGGATGGGGCTAAACTCTTTCCAGTGGTGCCCGGCGACAGGCCAAGGGGCAACGGGCACAAACTGAAGCAGAAGAAGCTCCAGCTGGAGATGAGGAAGAACTTCTTCCCTCTGAGGGTGACGGAGCCCTGGCCCAGGCTGCCCAGGGAGGCTGTGGAGTCTCCTTCTCTGGAGATATTCCAGCCCCGCCTGGCCGCGGTGCTGTGCAGCCTGCTCTGGGTGACCCTGCTTGGGCAGGGGGTTGGGCTGGGTGACCCACAGAGGGCCCTTCCATCCCCGCCGTGGAGTGATTCTGTGAATACTCTCGGTTATGTCCCCAGCTGTGGAAGTCAGCAGAGCTGCCTCAGCTTTGATGGAGATGCAGCAAAACTGCAGACTTTGGAGGAACTCCTACTGTTCACATCAGCCTTTTTATTTTCATTTCTAAAAATTAAACCTGTATTGTAGTGTTTATCTCCCTGCTGAGTGTTTACACAGCGTGAGTTTATGTCATTACACTGCTCCGCAGATGGAGTCTGTCTGTAAAGTGGGTTGGCAGCAGATTATTAATATCAGCATCATTAATGCGTGAGGTTTTTTCCTGCGTCTGGGGCAGGTCTGTGTTATGTGCAGCCCAACCTGGGTTTCCCAGCCCGCAGATGCTGTCGCTGCCCAGAGCTCACTGCGGACAGGGGGTGGTCCAGCTGCCTGGGCCTTTTGCTTTCACCGCGCTGGGGAAGCCGAGGCCATCAGCGCTTAGAAGCCATGTTGAGAGGGGAAGGATTGGAGGTCAGTGGCCCCCAGAAGGAAAGCCCCTCCCAGCAGCACCACATTCAAGTACACCAAAACCACACTCTTTAAACAGCTTTGGTGGTTATATTTACTTCTGCACATAAGCTTTTAGACTTTCTTACATCTGACACGTTATTTTTCATGTAAATCCTGCCCTGCGGCAGCATGGTGCGTCTTTGGAAAACCAGGGGGTCCCGCCAGCAAGACAGGCTGACCGTGCCCAGGGGACACATCCTGCACGTGGACCTCTCTAGGTGATTCCCCACACTTCTGTGTAAAGCTCTGTAAGCTCCAGAAGGACTTTGTGTAGGTCCAAGGCTGCTGCTTGGGCTCTGGTCTCTGTGCAAGTGATGTCTAACCCTGAAGTCCAAAGCATCTCCTGGCTCTCAATGCTGCCTGGAGCGCGCTGGGAGCACCCGCAGCTGGGCCAGTCCCCCCGTCCCCTGCCTCTGGGCCTGCTGGGAGGAGAAGGGGTGGTGGGGAGGGGGAGGCAGCGCTGCTCTCCAGGTGATGGGTGGCACATGGATGCGGGGTGCCCTGCAGAGCCCCCCCCAGCCGCCCCACTTGCAGTGCATCTTGGCACGAGTGCTGGGCTGCGCTGTTGAAGCACGAGGGAAAACCGTGGCCATGAGCGGCCAGACCCCGTGTGAGCAGTTATTTACAGGCACCCTTTTGGTCCTAAAAATAAACACCAACTATTCCTGCCTTGCAGATCACACCCCTCCAAAGAGCTGCTGCGGTCCTGATCCTGCTGCGGCAGCGTCCCTGGCTGGCAGCGCTGTGCTCCGGGGCGTTTTGAAAAACATTAAAACATAAAAACATGAGCTGCTGCTGCTTTCTGAGGAAAGGTTACATCTGGGGAGAGTTACTGGCATTGAGAGCCACGGTAGTCGCGACTTTGTACTGCGTTAGAGAACAACAGGTACCTGGGAAGGGTCAATGAGCTGCCTGCGCCGCCAGCTTGTTGTCCTGGGGGTGCTGGGGAGTCCTGGATTAATCCGTTATTGAGAAACAGATGAACAGAGATGGAAAGAAATGCTGTTTACCCAGCGAGCAGGGCACTGGCTGCAACGGGCGCCGCTCCAAGCGTTCGGCGAGGCACAGAGCTGCCGGCAGGACTGAGTGATTTCAGGTCTCTCTTAAAAATAGGTTGCAAGATCCAGACGCCCATAGGCAGGGATTGTAAATTACTGCAGATTCAGCCCCAGTCCTTAGGCTAATTCCTTTTTAGAGGTGAGGCACCGTGCTTCTGCTCAGGAACAGCTTTGGAGCGCAGCAAAAAGGGATTAAAATTCACCAGGAATCCGCAGGTCCTGTGCGGTGCGGAAAAGGCAGCGTCACACGAATCGGCACTGAGAGTGGGTCTGGGAAACAGATCTGGGTTACCCTAAAAACAATTGGAGATGTTTATATCGATCTTACCAGTAAAATTGAGATTTGATTTTAGAGAAGCCTTGTTTGACAGGTTATATTATGCAGGGGGTTGTGGATATACACTGAATTATTTTATGATGCCACTATGTTCAAAACCAAGCCAAACCCCACGCACTGAATATTTCAGGTGCTGGTTGGTTTGTGGTCCTGCTTTGCTCTGTGTCCCATCTCGCCCACTCCGATTTCAGCCTGTCCTACCTGTCTACACTGAATCATCTGTATTTTTACCTGTGAGCTACCAGTCCCGCATTAAAATGGTGTCTTCTCTAAAGCGGAGTGAATAATTCATTAGAAGATCATTACAAGCGTTGTAATGGAAAATTGCTTTCCCAGCTGTATTTAATGAGCACTGCAAAAGACAAGGGCAGGAGCTAAAATAGAGTAGAAACCCAGACACCTGTAGGAAGGAGTAAAAGGGGCTGCCTTGTGCCTTTGGTTTCCTTTGCCTGGCTGCTGCATTAGTTCTCCAAAATCTGTAATGGAATAAAAGGTTAAGGGGGGGCAGCTCTCTTCATCCCCGGCTCCCAGCTCCCTTAAGATTATTCCTCCGGGAACAGATGTCGTAGCTTGTCTGCTATTAAATGGGCTCGAGCAGTGGGGTTCCTCTGTGTCTCCAGGGAGACCATTTCACCGTGTAATTGTCCAAATTGTCAAGAGGTTTTTCTGAGGTTCAGCCTCAACTTCTCTTAACCTGTAATTTTTATCCTTTATTCTTCCCTGTCTGCCTCTATTATATATGAATCTTAAACCCCTCTCTTTTGGCTTCTTTTCTTTTCTCACCTTATTTTATACCTTTTAACCATGCTGTCCTCTGCATTGCCCCTTAGTAGGGTCACACGCCCTTGGTGTCTAAGGGGAGGTTGAGTGCACAGACAGGAGTTTGCATTTCCAGGATTCGGCACGTGACCGTCTTTTAAATCCTGATGTGCCTTTACTGTTAAGCTCTTCTGCAAGTCCTTTCCATTAGTACCTAAACGGGAGATGAGATCTCCTAAAATTACTATCGTTGTGCCCGTTGACAGATTCAGTCTTTCTCAGGTGGATCCAAAGCCCAGGGGTATTGGTGAGAAGATTCACCTCTATTTCACTGCACTTCTCGTATTTCCTCCAAACCCTTTTCTTCTCCATTTGGGTTCTCTTTTCTAAATTACCTCCCAGGACCAAAACATGTCCAGCAACCAGTCTGGTGGCCATTGCAAGAAGACCTTCAAAACCTACAAGAGAAGTACGCGTCCCCTCCTCGCTGTTGCTCTGCAACCCACGTCTTCCGTCTGACTTCTGCAAGGGTGATTTCAGCCTTGGGCACACATGCCAAGACTCCCTGGCACTGCCTGGAGTTACGCAGCCATGGGCAGTCTCCTGTGAAACCAGCTGGAAGTGATACCAAAGAGCAGTGAAATATGCTCATTTTTGATGTTTTCCAAAAGTAACCGTTCAGGGACGTGCTGTGTCTTTATTTTTCAGAATCCAGGTATTGACATTGGGGACGTTTCCGAGAGAAAAGCATTAAGGAAGAGCTTGAAGTGTAAAAATTTCCAGTGGTACCTGGACCACGTTTATCCGGAAATGAGGAGATACAACAACACTGTCGCTTACGGCGAGGTAATTATGGCTGAGCAGCCGCTGAGATCAGACTGGTAATATTTACAGCTGGTGAGTCTCAGATGAGCAATAGCCTCAAAGGAGAGCAATGTGAATCAGAACCTACTATTTGTGTATAATTATATAAATTTGTATAAATCTGTTCACAGTTTCTGCTAAAAACCTATTTTGGAATTTATTTCTGATCTTGGAGGCTATATACAGTAAAATATTTTAATACCTCATTTACTGGATTGACAGAAAATTATCTGTATTACCCATTGACTCCATGGATTAAGCAGCTGTATGTGTATTTTTAATACATAGTTGTCTTATAAAATCCTTTGACTTAAACTCAGCCTAATTCCTTACAAGGTCTCTGTAGGATACAGTGCGTTGTCACGACAGCTTAAGGATGAGATAAAGTAAGGAGACTTAATTCAATCTCTGCTGACTTTGAGACCATACTGGGAATATAAAAACAGGCATTTATGGGAACTAATAATACTCTCTTGCAGTGGGTCTCATGGACTAGTGGCAGTCTGAGAAGGCTCCTTGAAGCACAGCCTGAGCACCCCAGACGGGCGTTAATTTTAAGAAAGATTTGTTACCAAAGTTGCTTCATGCCTGCAAGCTGAAGCCTCCCCGCCAGCAGTGTTTCCAAAGGCGCTGCTGCAGTTGCCCTGCCTGGGGAGACGGGAGAGGACAGCTCTGTGGAGAGGGACCCGGCGGCTGGGCTGCAGTGGCCCTTGGGCTGCGTAGCCTGAGCCCAGCCCTTCCACGCTCCCTCCCCAGCGTGGCCTTCGCTACTCGCCGGCTGGTTTGCCATCTCTGCGTCTCCTCCTGCCTCCCTGCGACAGTTCAGAGGGGCTGCTTGTGCTAGTGGGACTTCTGTCCCTGCCTTGTCGAGCACCTTGAGATTTCAGTGAAATACAAGCGATTCTGCATTGAGTTCAGGCTCCTGGCAACACGCTGGCAGCAGTCTAAAAATATGTTGGTTGCCACCACACGTTACAAAGAAAACTGTGTTCAAGGAAGTTGGCTCCTTTGAATGGTGATTATTATATAAAAGCAGTCATCATTAGGCTCTGTATTTAAAGAAAATACATGGCACACTAAACCTTTCTCGGCCTGATTATGCCTGGTGATATAGCACTGTGTATTCTTTCTATAGCACTGCTGCACAGCAGGTTATTGCTTATCTCCGAAGAGACAGCGCCCCATAACTCTGCGCTTTTTATTTCTTACAGCTTCGAAACAACAAGGCGAAAGACGTCTGCCTTGACCAGGGCCCGCAGGAGAACCACACAGCAATATTGTACCCGTGCCACGGCTGGGGACCGCAGGTGAGGGGTTCCTCTGCGGCGGGGGCCGCGCGTGCCGGAGCCGGCGTTCCCGGCAGAGGAGAGCGTAGGGATGTGCGAGCTGTCTGTTGGTTTCACGCTTACATGTGTAAGACCCAGCTTCATGTTAAAAATACCTCAGATGTAAGGTGCGTTTTCCCAGCTACCCTCAGAGTAGCTATTTTCTGGATTACCATAATCATGCCAGAGCTGCAAGTAAAAGTGTAATTTGAAAAAATCTTCCAGACGAGGGTAAATAATGCTGAAAGCAAATAGCCAACGGGCAGAGCAGAGTGGACGCAGGCAGAGCATTTTAAGACGTTTCCTTTCTCTCTCGCCCAGCAGAGTAAAATGTACCAACTGGGTAAAGAAAACAAAGAGTGCTCTTAACGGGATGATAATTAGCCATTTCAGCCTGGGTGGGATTTGCCATAGCATTGGGTTTCTGGCACTCCTTTTGCCTCTCCAGAAGTTTTGGAGCAAACCAAAAGCTTCTTATCCTAATTTTAAGCTTATTCTAGATTAAAAGTGTTTCCCAGATTCACTTTAGATCTCACGATCTTTCAGAGGATTAGTGAGTGTGTCAAATACTGAAAGTTAGTGATGATGAACTAATTCAGCTTCATCTGTAGTTTTTATCACTCGGTGAGTTTTAAGAAGAAATCAGCATGGGAATGCTGCTGGTCTGATCGCTACAGAGTTGGAACAAACCAGGGTACAACGCTCGCTCTGCTGCTCCTGGCTTCCGTAAAACCAGCGGCAGACTCTAAGCTGGACTGTCAGGATCTGCAGGCTCAGGGATCATTCACCCAGTCCCCTGATGACTTTTCCTACCAGCTATCTCTGCCCAGATCCCCACTTTAGTATTTTAACTAAATCCTGTGATTTCCTCAGTGGTTTTATTTCTGTATGCCTGGCGGTCATCATCTTTTCATGCAAATCCTTTAGCGCAATGTCCTTCTCCTCTACAATCTTTAAGGAGAAGATACAACACATTTCTTTCTAGGTGTGGAGGCAGAGTGGCCATCTCATCACACATGGGTTTTTCAAGGGCCCTGGCTGATCACCGTCAGGGTTTGACACGTGTATGTGGCTGCAACTTCCTGCGTTTGTTTGCGTTTCCCACGGGAATGCTGTGGCTGTCTATATTGGAAATTTAGCGGAGGAAGGGAGGTTACGGATGATGGGCTCTAGCGTCACTGTGCTTGCACGGTGCGTAGTGGCGATGGTTAGAAACAGGGATAAACTCCTCTGTGAGAAGGCTGTTTGTTCTGTTGCTTTTCCTTTCTCTTCCTTGGAAAGTCCGTGCTCATCGTCGGACTCAGAAATATTTCCCCGCTACCTTCTCTGGATCAGCCACTTCTGCACTGAAGGGGTTGCATCTAATGATCTGCTTAGAAATTGGGGTAAAAATGTACCTAAAAGCTGTCTGAACGCCAAGTTTCTAGCCTGAAGCCATCATCTGCATTCTCTCAAAGGAAGGCAAGATGTGCCACAGGAGGAGACCCATGGCAGCTTGCACGGTGGGGTAGGTCCTGCCTGTCGCTGTCAGTTGCCAGGAGGACAAGTCTTACAGGGGAACCTTAACGTTGCTTTGGGTGGGGTTAGGTGAGACAATCCCATCCCAGCTGTGCCCTGATGCTGAGTTAGGACGTTTAAGGTGTAGGCAGGGATTTCTTTTTATTTGCAGGACAACGCTCTGTCCTTTCGTGTTTCAGGGAAGACCTGCTCTCGCATTGCACGTGCTCCGGTTGCTGTGCTGTAGGGGTTTCCCTTAACACCAGTAAGGCAGCCCTGGCTTGCCATTCCACCATTTTCTGTCTTGGCATCCTGATGTTTGTTATTCTGGCACTGGCCATGTCTTCAACAGCTTATTTTAACGTCAGGACGCCCAGCCAGAGCTGTCAGTGCTGGCAGATGGCACAGGGTGTAGGCTGAGAACTGCTGGATGGGCAGGACCACGTGTCTGAAGCTTTGTGAGGGCCTGAGTCCTGTTGAAATTAGTGCACGACAGCCAGCTGCTGTGGTGAAGCACCGCAGGTGGCACAGCAGTGTACCAGCAAAGGCAAGTGCCTGTATCAAACCTGCATCTCAACCCAGAAGTGCATAAATTACATAGAAATGCTGAACACCAGTGGTGGAATTCCTGCTCCCGAGAGCTCTGTAAGCCTGTCCTGCACCTCTGCTCCAGGGACACTGCGGTCTCTGTGCAGGTATGGAGGGGGAGATTTCTGCTTCCTTCATAGTGTTACTAGAGGAAGCTCAGCACTGTGGTTGCATTCGTTAAGACCAAAACTGTGAAATATAACATAATAAACACCATCCCATTAAGTACCTGCAGGTATTTGCGTAGTAAAACCCCGCCTGTGAAAATTTCTTCCATGAATCAGAGGGGAGACCAGGGAGAGGAAGAGAAGTGCCCCACCAGACAGTAGGGTTTCCCAAATTATTTGTTGTCATTTATTTACTGACCAGAGTTCCCATTTAAGCATCAGAGCTTTCCAGTTCAAACACGCTGCTGTGACTGGTGTGCTGGCTCCAGCTGCCTTCTAGCCTGTGATGGGTTGCAGCCTGTCTTGGATTTGTGTCTTTTTTTGAATACCCCAGTATTGAATACCTGTGTGAATACCAGAGATAAATAAACTCAACCTAGAAAACAGACCTTTTTTTAATCTGCTGGACGTTGCAGATAATGTCAGTCTAGCTCCTTCGCCGTGCTCGTGCAGCCCGTAGGTGGGAGGAGGTCTTTGTAAGGGAGGGAGGTGCCCCGATAGCTGCTTTTCAGGTGGGAGAAAGATAGGAAAGTTCACAACAAAACCTTGTAGCCGTTTCCTGAGGTCTGAGAACATGCGATCCCATTCCTGGTAGCTTACCTGAGACAAGACCTAACTTTTTTGTCATGTCTGGAGGATTAGCTCATCAAACCTGAATGAAAACCTAGAGTGTTAATCAGGGCTTGGCAAGACAAGATGTCAGTTCTCTGTGCTGTTGTGGGCCTCAAATACGATTTAAACGGGTGTCTTTTGATTCTCCACCTGCAAATTGAGCCTCATTGGCAGGAGGATGAGTTGAAGATTGAGATGGAGCCCAGTGAGGACACAGAGCTGCAGGACGCTCAGCTGTGGCAGCCTGAGTGAGTAACTGGGGTCCAGCATGCTCAAGGACATTCATTTTCAGCTAAAAAAAAATGTATAATTCACATGATGGGAATATGTAAAGAGCCTGTTCTCCCAATATGCTCATCCTGGGCTTTCCAGGCTCACCAGGACTAGGTAATCCCAAAGCTCATCTGAGTCTGAACTGCAGACTTCAGGAGCCACCTGAGCCTGGGAACTGGCTGCGGAGTCCTGCGGGGCTGAGGCAGATCTCCCTTTGGTTTATCCTTGCCTTTAAACAAAGACCAGTCAACTGTGGCTGATCGAGTCACTTCTAAATATAACCTAGCTGTTGCTTAAATGCACACAATCTTTTTCTTAAATAGCACAAACTGCCTTGTGGACTTTCTGGATGGAAACTTAAACCTCTAAGTGCCTTATAGTATGAGAAACTGAATTACCCTGACATTGTCTGCTAAACCTAGGCTTTAAGATGAATGGCTAAAAGCAGGTTATTTATTTTTTCCTCGGCTGTTTTTGTGATTAAACTTAACGATGTTTTCTCCTCCTGCCTGATGTTCTGAAGCCAAACGTTGCCGTGCTGCTGGCTCCCTTCAGCTCGCCAGTCGCGCAAGCTCAGCACAGATTTTTCTTCCTGGTCTCCCACCTCCGCGCTGTCCCTTCCCTCGCCAGCAGAGTGCCAGTTCTTGGCAGTTCTTTTGTTTCGTGATACGTGCAATTAGTTTAACTCCTTGAAAACACTTTTTAAAAGTAGCTATCAGTGAGTGCAGAAGCTCTGAAATTAGCTTTTTGCAGAAGCACGGGCGCAGCACAAAAGAAATGGGGCTTCTGCTACTACTGTTTAATTAATGGGCTGCATGTTGTAATTTATTGCTGGGAATATAATTAGAAGTAATATAAACACTTTGTTCGAATTGCTCGCTTGTTTTATGTATATATGTATAAAAACCACAAGGAGTTGCAACGCTTTCTGAGTTGTTCAGCACCCAAAAGCACACACAGAGGTGCCTGTGCTCGATGCTCGGGTGGTGTCCGAAAATCGCAAGCTGTGGCCTATCGCAGAGGTGTTCAGCTGCACGGCACGATGAAGGAGCGGGTTCCCGGGCTGCGGCGAGCGAGGGTAAGGGGTAGGCTCCCTGCTGGGATTGTGTTGGAATTCCGAAGTCCATCCCCGCACCGTGCTGCTCTCCGCTGTGGCTGCTGGGTGTCTGTGGACGAGCAGCCTAGCGCAGAGAGAGGGGGAGTGACCTGCTCTGCGGGGAGAGATTTGTCCTGTTCAAGAAAAAACAGCTGCTATTATGTCTTGAGTTTGTGCTCTCTCTGCTGATGACCACTAATTGGTTTAAGCTAAGCGTGTAGCATTCAGATGGCTGCAGTTAGGTGCAATGGATCCCGTACCTAGAGCTGAATGCGGAGCAGCTCTTGGCTGTTGCTCACAGCACCTCTGTCGTAGCATCTCTCAGTGGGAGACATTTTTGGATTTTTCTCTTGTTTTCCCTTTAGCTTTCCATTCTCCCTGCTTTCATTCACTTTCAGGTCAAATCATTATCAGATTTCGTGATGAAGTATCCTTTTATCCCGTAATTATATTGAGCCTGCTCCTGAATTTTTTTCTTCCTGATGGCTTCATCTTTTAAGCAATACATCATGAAAACACCTTGCTGTAATGATGTATTACGCTAATAATATAGTAATATCTCATTGGAGTGACAGGACTATGGTGATATATTAACGTGATACAAAGCACTATAATGCTATAAAACTTAAGATAATGTTCACACAGCAGAGCATTTCATTTAATTATAGGATAAAATATGTTTTGCCCATTTAAGCATCAGAACTTGAGGACAAAACCATCAATACTGAGATCATCTGGGACACAGCAGTATCAAGGGTGACACAACAGCACATTAGATTAAATTGTGTTAAAAAGAAAACACTGTACACTTTACTTATGGTTGCTAATTGATGATCTGCTCAGTGCAGAAAGGAAGCTAAACAACGCTAAATTTTTTTCCGATAGAGTCAATGAAGGTCACCAAGGCTTTTATTTCCCAGGTGCTAAGATGTCTAATTAACTTTCTCCCATCCCCGAGCTGCAGCCAGCCAGAAACAATAATCAAAGAAGATGTATTGGTGGTGCGAGTTTGCGGACGGGAGATCAGCCCGAGTGATGCAGTGGGCACGTGCGCGGCCGTGCATCGCCAGGGCTGCGGGTGCCCCCGGGGCAAGGCAGCCCCCCAGAGCGGTACCCGCAGGCGGGGGGCTTTGCAAGAGGCCGTTTTACCCGGGGCGCAGTTTTCCCTGGAAGGGTGTTTGTAAGCGGCTGTGGGTGTGAGCTCGTGTTTCTCTCTGGGGATGTGGCCTTGGGCCATTCACACTGATGAAGTGGTTTGAGACCTCGTCAGAATTAACCGCTTTTAAATGGGTAGCTTGTTCGTATTTTGGAACTGACTTTCTCTGGTCCTTCCTCTTGGTCTTTCTGGTTTGTCTCTCATCCGGTGCCAGGCCGGGTGGTTCCTTCAGGCGGTTCCTCAGGCTGGTACCTCCGTGTTTGTCTTTTCCTGGCCGGGTTGGCCGTGTCCTTCGCTGTTCATTCAGCTCGTGCCTGGCTTGGGCTGCTTTCTGGAGGCTGGCAGTGAGACGTAGGACAGATCACTTTAAAGGACAGATACGTTTTTGGAGGGCAGGAGAGCAGAATTTAAACCTGCATCACTTCAGAGATTTGTCTTTCCACAAAGCCAGGAAAAAAGGGGTTTGTTAGATGAGATATAATTGGATTTAAGTTAGTATACAACCTTAACTTCCTGGGACTGGGCTGCACTTCAGCAAAAACTCACTCTTCATCAATGAAATAATTTCCTTCAAAAAAAGAGACTTTGATTATCTTTAAGCACCGTGATGACCGTGTCAGAAAATCGTTGGTGACTGTGAAGCAGCCGTGGGATCTCCAGGGGAGTAACCTTGTTCAGGCACTTGGTGACGTGGGCAACATTTGTGGAGTGGTCGGCAGGGAAGGAATTGAGAACAGGAGGGACAATGGCTAGGAGTCATTTGAGAGGAGAAAACTGGTGTGGTCCAACAGGAAGACATTTGGTGGAAAAGCCTTCCCGGATCCTGTGGGAAGAGCTCGCCTGGCTGAGCTGTGAGGATGAGGAGGAGAAGGGCAGAGCACAGAGTGTTCAGGTGGTGCCAGGTGGATCTGGTACACTCCCGGGCAAGACGGCAGGGTTTACACAACTACGCCTCTGAGACTCCCAAACACGGTGCCCAGAGAAGGAGCGTATTGAAATCCTGCTCATGGCAGGGCCTTCTTGTGCTCCCCCAAGCCAAGGAGCAGGGTTACCCTGGGAGTATTTTGCCCTGATGCTGAATATCCCTATGAGCACTTGCAGAAGCCCGTCACTGTTACATCTTGTTCGCTTGACTCTCACGTGTAGCCAGAGTTCTCCTCCACCGCCTTTCCCCAAGGGGAAAGGTCATCTGGGGCTGTGCTGGCCATGGTGAAGAAGGCAACTTTGCTTGAAATGCCGAGTTGTGGAGTTGGTGAATTGCTGAAACCACTCAGGAGGTTTGAATAACAACAGCAGGTCTGATTTACTGATATTGTAAAGTATTTGTATGTCATCTTCAGTGTCTAACGTAGGCTCAGGTCTGATGTGAGCACTGGAACAGGCTGCCCAGGGAGATTGTGGAGTCTCCTTCTCTGGAGATATTCAAGACCCACCTGGACAAGGTCCTGTGCAGCCTGCTGTAGGTGACCCTGCTTGGGCAGGGGGGTTGGACTAGATGACCCACAGTGGTCCCTTCCAACCCCTACTATTCTGTGATTCTGTGATTCTGTGATTCTGTTGGCTGGAGCTGCTCTTTCAAGTGTTGGTTACTGCAGTACATGGTGATGAGACAGAGGAGCTTCCCATCTCTTCTCTTACCGGGCAAATCCAGATCGAAAGTGCCGGCCAGGCTGCAGCTACGCTCACCGCAGCTGCCTGTGGGGCTGTCTCGAGCCGACGCTCTGTATACAGCCTCTGCTCTGTATTTTCTCCCCTTTTATCACTCAAGAAAGACCCATTGCCAGCAGGATTGGTGCTTCACCGCCAGACTCCCCTTTACCTGAGTGCTTCACCCCCGGCTGCTGCGGCCGGCTCACTCTGGAGAGGAGCAAAATAACAGAAGGATTAAGGCATCAAAGGGAAAATACTCCAAAAAGACAAAAATTCCATGAATGTCTTAGGAATCGCTCTCCAGTTTGATGGCTGGACAGGCTGGGAGGCTGCAACGGCTGTGGCTGGGCCTCCGCTGTGCTCGGCAGAGTAGATCGGGCGCTGAGCAGTGTGCTCGGTCCAGACGTGTTCGGGCCTCCGTTTGTCTGGCTTTGATACATAGTCAACGACACATCTAATAGATGCACTTAATGCATTTATTCGTAATACCCGTGTTTGGTTTTCAGCTCGTTTTGTCTCCTTCCAGCCCCCTGCCCGCTCCCTTCCTCAGGAGAGATTTCATTTTTGCTCTACTTATTTTTCCCACCACATTAGGCGAAAACACGTGAGAGCAGAAATGATGTTGCCTTGTGGGCATCAGGCCAACCTTCGGAAGACAGGCTGCCAAACAGCATGAAAAAAGGAAGTGTCTAGCACACTAATTATGCACATGGCAGGAAACGTTTCGGAAACAGGAGAAGGAGAGGAGTTGGCACTGCCCATCTGGGACCTCTGGATGATGTTTTCTGTCTGTCCTTGTCTTTTTTTCTCTTTTCCTTTATATACCTCTTTCTTTTTGCAAGGCAAGCGGCCTCATTCTCTGTGTTGGTGCTCAAATACCGATTCAGATGAGTTGCGTGGTTGAAAACATGCTGTCAGGTGGAGAGCACCATCTAGCTCGAGGCTTGGCTTATCAAAAGATCAAACTGCTAAAAATAAATAACGTGAATACAAGCCTTCAGCTGGGCTGGAGCTGCCGGAGGGGTCATTGCCAGGTAGCTCCAGCCTCATGCGCAGGGCAGCTCCCTTGCTGGGAGCCCGGCACAGCGTGGGCTGGGCTCGGTGGTGAATGGGATCCCCATCCTGCGGTTGGGAACCCCGTGCCTGGGGGAGACGGCAGGTCGGAGGGAGGAGGAGGAGGTGATGGGTACGGCTTTAAGCTCTGCGGGCTGTGCTCCTTCGCACCCCTGCTCTGCCAGCGCAGCAGTTCAGAGGGGAGGTTGCTGTGAAGCTGAAGCGGCTTGTACTGTTCTGCACCATCTTGCAAAGGGCTTTGGGGGGCAGAGGAGCAAATCCTGCCCTGGGGGGAGGGGGGGG